TTAAATCGCAAAATAAAAATTTTCCCTCCATTTCAATTTTTCTTAATCTCGCATTCCAAATTCCCTCACATTTATTATCTTGAAATTTTCTATTATTCTTTTATTACACTTTGTTTTTTACTTTAATCAATTCGTTTTTCATTCTACCGAATTGTTTATCAACAAACTGTAACATTTTATATTTCTACACCTTTTGAAGTCCAAAAATGAAAAATATTTGAATGTTTTTTCTTAAGAAATTCTTAACCCATTCTAAAGCATTAACTCTTTAAGAATTTTGATTGTATTTTTATTATCCTGATTATTTCTATTACTTTTTCGCTAGCCGCCACTTAACTCTAACATTTAAGACAAAAACTAATTTAAAGTAAAAAAAATCTCTAGCAGAAATAAATTTTAAAAAGAGAAAAAAGAAAAAAATATTTAAAGAACTTTAGAAGCGAACAAAACAGCAAAAAAAAAAACAAGAACCAAAATTGTAAGACAAAATGAGAAAACAACAATAACGACAATAGTAGCTATATCGCAGTCTTTCTAACGTTTAACTACAGAAATGGGAATGAAGAAGTGAACAGTAAATTCGTTTCTTATTATTTATTTCCAAGTTATCCTTTTGAGTTGCTTTTATACGAAATTTGTTCTTTTTTTTTTTTACACCATAACAAAGTTTTTGCTTTTTAATTCACTAAATGATTTCGTACACCTACACACACAAATACATAGAAGAGATGCACAAAAAAATTTCCTTACGCAAAAAAATTAAAAAAACACAAAATTAAAATTAAATTTCTTTTTTTTTTTTTAAAAAAAAGTAATTTAAAAAAAATTACGACACTTATGTAACTTTCCTGATTTATTTGTGACATTAAAAAAAGTTCATAAAAAAAAGGTGGTATTTATATAAATGAAATTTCGACTAAAGAAATGCACATAACCGCTTTTAATTTTGGTAGCGTTCAGAAAGATAATCAAACCATGGACAAATACGATTGGTATTGTCTCTAAAGAAACATAAGTGTTTTTGTAAAAGAAAAAGCGTTAGTTGTAGAGCAAAAATTTGCACTCTAGGTTCACTAAATGTGAATCTGATGAAAATTTAATGTGGAATCGAAATAAAAAAAAAAACAATTGCCCAGACTTTTTTTTTCAATTGTCAATTTATTTATTGTTTCTCATTAAAAAAAGAAATCAATAAATTTATTTATTGATTTCTTATTAAAAAAAATTCTGTCAAAAACAGTTAAAAAATTCCTCTCAAAAAATTGTCATAAAGGTGTGAAATGTGTAAACTCTCACCAAATTTCTCTTAGATTAAAATGATAGATTTAGTCTAATATGATGTTTACTTTTACTTTTGACATTTCACTTGTCATTCTTAACAGTTGTCAACGTCAAATCAACTTAATTTGGTCATCAAATTATTTGGTTTCTCTATTTTAACATGGAGAAACTCTTTCAAACATGTACATATGTACATGTTTTCTCAATCGAATTATTCAACATATTCAAAAAAAAAATTTTCACATTTAGGAATACTCATTGACAATTTGATTTGATGTGAAACTATTTTCTTTAAAGATACCGGCATCGATTGTGGATTTGGAAAACAGTATCATTGGTAATGTCCTGGCTTGGAAACTTGGGAGAAAAGTGCTAAAAATGTGCATTTATGTAATAAAAATTACATTTAAATGGGCAACTGTTTCATGTGTTTTCATATTAAATAGCAAACTAAGAGTTTCCGTAGAGATTCGTGTCTAAAAGTTCACGAAACGTCTTTTTGTCATCGGGGACAAGCAATGATTTGAAATCAATGAACTGAATAATGATTAACTAATTTAATAGTACATTGATTTTATAAATAATTTGCTCATTTTTAAACCACTTGCTCAGTATGACTTACTCTATTTATCTTATATATTTATAAATGTCTCACATTATAATACACATATGTATATATTTACATACACAAAAAGACAAATTTTACATATTTAAAAAATAAACTTAAAATTGACAATTAAAAAAAGCTTAAGGAAAAAAGTGAAAACATGTGAACGGGAGAATAAACGGAACAAATTTATACACATACATATATGTATATTCATACTTATGAATAAAAAATAATAATTTAAAAATAATTTAAAAACAACAATAAAAGAAAATGAATAATAAAAGGACATTAAAGACATTATTAAAACGAATGCGAAAATAAATAATTTTTTATTAAGTTGAACGATTTCTTAAAAAAAAAATGAAAATAAAAAAAAAATAAAAAAAATCTGATGTGGTCAGCACATAAACGACCGCAATGTGTATTGTCTAGTTAAGTGAAAAAGTTACAGAATATTATAGAAATGTCTGTTAAATATTTCTCTCCAATTTTTAGGACATTAGTAAGCTTATAGTTAACATACCTAGAAAAATGTAAATTTGGCTCTTAGTAGAGTTTCGCTTTGTGCTACCCGAATTCCCTGAAATGCTCGCCAGTTAGTTTCGGTAACAACCAGAACTCAAATATCAAATTTCAAGAAATTTAATCAATTCGTTCCGTAGATATGGTGAAAAATGTAAAATCGGCCCGCAAATCAGTTTTCGAGTCCTGATTTCTCTAAAAAATCTATATGTTCATTGTTTTAATACGAGGAATTCATATATTAAATTTCAATGAAATCGGTTGATTATTTCTCTTTATACACACAAAAATGTATATTTGGCCTGTACTAAACGTCCAGTTGCTGATGCCTGATTTCTTCCAAAAGTTAGGAATTTTTGCGGACGGTCGAGCAAAGCTTATATATGAAATTTCAAGAAAATCGGTTTAATATTTTCTTCAAAATGTTCAAAAATGTAAAACAGGCCTGCTAAAAAGTGCAGTTCCCGAGGCCTGATATATCCCAAAAGTTGATCAATCCGTGCCATGGTGGAAATAAACTTACATATAAAATTTCATCAAAATCGGTTCAGCAGAACTTGAGATACACGTGTGCACACACAGACCGACAGACCGACAGGTTGCTAAAAATAGTTTATTTACACTTCCCTACTATGGAGAAGTGCATTCCCACCGAAAACTCGATATACAAAATTTGTTGCCATCACATATCCTACCTATTGTATACACAATACAGTCCGTAAAAAAAGAAAACTTGCTAATGTCAGACGATGAAAGAATTAGACAAGTGAACCTTTTACAGAACAAAAAAAACATAAGTGCCTTTCTTTTTCTAAATTTTAAAAATAAGAATAATAAACCATAAACGATTCTCCACTCTCACTTGAAACACTTTTTTCCCTCTTTATTGTTTGTCGTTTCTTGTAATTATCCACCTTAAAAATGGCCTAAACTTTGACGTGGACGTGATTAAAAACTTTTTCGTTCTAAAAAATCTTTTAAATTCTTTTATATCTTTTGTTGGCTACTTGTTATAATTTTAACTATATATACTGTTATACGAGTATATTTTTGTATTAAATTTTATATTACATTGCTATTTAATTTAAAGCTTATTTAACCTTGGATTAAATTAAATTTTTTAAATATAAAATAGAAAAACGTGTTTTTCGTTTTTTTTTCATAAATTGTGCCAAAACACAAACAATTTAAAAAATTTTGATGCTTTGAATTTTTGAACTTTCAAACAAAGAAGGCCAAAAATTATTTAAACTAAAATTAAGTAACTATGAGAAAGAGTAGAGTATTAACACAAAAAACGTACTTCTTGCTTAAAATTCCAATAAGAAAAGTATTTGAAATGCAAACTTAAGTACGTTACATACATATAAGGAAGTACGTTACATACATATATTTGGATTTAACGTAAAGTATACTGTCATTGTTAATGATAACAAATTCTACAATTTTCCTTCAAATTTTACTCACTGTTAAATTACAGGCATATTGCTATTTATTAATGTTTAAAGCTATATTAAAAAATTTACTAAAATTAGTAAATCTAAATACTCATATAGAAATTTGAAGAAACTAAAAACAACCTCCAATTAACACTTTATTTAAAAATATTTTTCTCGAATTTAATTAATTTATCTACATAATATACATAATATGTATATGTAAGAATAAATGTACTATGCACGAATTGAATTCAATTATTTTGCTTCTATCTGAATAAATCAATTTTAAGTGAAAAAAAAAATTAGAACACTTTTATTGAATTTAAAAAAAAACGAGAAAAGCACTGAAATCTGAAATAATTCTGAACAAAGAATTCAAACGACACTAATCAGTTGCACGATTTATAAGGTTAATTTAACTGGAAATTATAAAAATAACAGAAATTTTCACTTCCGAAAAGTATAAAAAAAAAATACTTAAAAAACACTTGTCATAATTGACTTTCTATGAAGTGCAAACAGACTATATTTAGGATTATTAAGGATAAAATCAGAAGACTGAAATAACACAGGAGAATAAATTAATTAATTGAATTTAAACGAACATATTTACTCTTGTTGAGATTATTTCAATCAGACCTAATTGAAAAAAGAAAAATGATTGATTAATTACAAATTCAATCCGAAAAGAGAAAGTGAGAAAATTATTGCGAAATTTTTTATTTTTCTTAAAATTTTTCAAATGCTTTCTTTCTTGCTGCTTTTTCACATTAATCTTAAGAATCTCTAGATTTTAATACTTTGGCATCAAATATTTACTTATTGATTTTGAAATCACAATTGAAGCATACAGCGATTTCAGTATTACAAGAATATTTTAAAAGAATGAAATAATTGATTTGATCTATTATACTATTTTTAGTGTAGCTTCAGCTTTACATTCATTTTCAAATAACTATGAGGCTAACCACCTTGCCACAGTTTAGGCTTCTTAAATTATTGTAATATAATTAGAAATTTATTATAACATCTAAAATATTATTAAAAAAATACGGCGAATATAACAAATGATGCATTAGTATTTTTTTCCTTTTTTATTTTACTTCCTTGCAAACATTTTAAATATGGTAATTATATTTCTATTCCAGGTCACCACAATTAAAGCAATTAATATCAACATTTGCTGATAAAGGAAAGATTCCTGCATTAGATTTTTTATCAGCCGCTTTAGAATCTGTTGAATACGAAAAGGCCTTAACACGTGGTTTAACAATACCAGAATGTCGAGTAGTTCCGTGTTATAAAATGTTTTTAAAAGACTTAAAAGAACTTTTAATACAATCATTAGCACCAAATCTTGGTATAATACATCCAAGTATGGGTGTAGCGGGTGGTATTTGTGCGGCTGCCTACGCAATGCATCAGTTACCAACATCAATTGATACATCACCAGTAACATTTATTGAAATCGAACCAAATACAAATCGAACAAATAGTGCGAATTTATCAACTCCAGAATCATGTAATCGTGGTGTACAAACGAATTTAAGAGGACCATTCGATTATCGAACGACGACGAATTATTTATTAACTAGCTCGAATCAAAACCCTATTAATTGCGGCAGTACAAATAGCAACATTAGTAATTCGAGTGGTAAAGTAAATTGTAGACAATTGGTAAGCAATGTATACGTACATATATATATATAAATTTCTTTAATAATAGTTTGGTTTTTTCTTCTCAATTGAAGTACATATCTGATTATAATGGTGAAGATTTACATTTTACAAAAATGGGATCATCAGGTCTGATTAATCAAGATCAGATCTATCGAATACAAGCTGTGATGGATCACATTGATCAATGTCATCAACATCATCATGCCTTAAGCAAAGAATCATCAACAAGTTTATTAGATTTTTTAAGAACATCAGCATTTAGCCCAAAATTAATGACACCTATAGCAACTTATCAAACTGAAGTAAATGAACATGAAGAAGATTATGAAGTTGAAATTGGTAATTATAATCCAGTACAACCACTACCAAATGATCATGGTGTAGGCATGATACCAATATCATCCATACATCACAAAATTGATCATCATTTATTACAAATAATGCATCACGGTACAACTGCCGTATTGTGGGAACCAGAAACTCCCTCAGATCGTTCTTGTTATAAATTTTTTCGTTTAGAGCGCTCTTGTTCAATGGTTAGCTGGCATCGTCCATCATGGCGAAGGTTGAAAACTCAGCAAGAATTTAACGTGGCTATCAACCCCGAAGATTTAATTGCAAACCGTATGATGACCAAACCTTTAATTTACCAAACAGATTTTGATCCAATGTCTCAGACAATCGATGAAGGTTTCCTAGATTTAATAAATGTTAAAGAAATTACAATGGGTTCAAGAAATCGTGAATATGATGCAGATTTATTAGCAGCCGGAAAACGATTCGGTTTGACTCACGTTGAATGCTGCGTTTCAATATTATATGGTAATTCTTTAAGTGATAATCGAGTATTGTGCCTATTATGCCCACCGTTATTGTGCAGGTATATATCAATTTTATCTGTACTTCCTAATATTTATTATTCATAAAAACAATTTATTTTCTTAGATTATGGTTTGTTGGTTTAACCTGGATAATACGCGGTATCAAACGTCAACAGCGTCTTGCCGACAGATCAATGATGTGGTTAAAAGAACAATATTTACAATTATATTATGAAGATGGCTACTGTGTAGAACCATTAGCCGCTGATGCAATACGTATGTTTGGTGGTAGAGATTGGTCTCAAACTGGTGCAACCGCAGCAGCTTTAGCCGCTCAACAACAAGAGAACTCAGAGAGCATAAGACGTGAACAATCCATAAAAATTAAGAAAAAGCGTTCCGTTGTCAATTTGCTAAGTCAAGCAACAGGGGGAGGAGGCAGTGGTAGCGGTGGAACGAGCAGTAGTAGTGGGTACAGCAATAGTATTAGTAATAGCAGTAGTGGGCTTGGATTAATGGCCGCTGAATCCATGGAAACTATACGTGAAATAACAACAAAATCTGCACGACCTTTTATACGTGGAAAAGATCGTAATGGTTCCTCAGATCAATTATTTCAACAGTATTCGTCTAGCCAAATTCAACAAATGACACCACAATCAATTAGAGAACAAAAAGAACCAAGTAGATCAGAAACACAACATCCGAACAGGAACCTGCGGGCAGGATCTATAACATATGAAACACAGTTGGATTTTTTAGATTTTATTGCACTATTTCGTTCTTTCAGGTAAGTCTGCAGTTTTAAAACGTTTTCATTGAAATTTAAACAGATGATAAAATAGATACACGAGTATTAATTTTCCTCGGATAAATATACAAATTGCAGGAAGATAATAAATTTCAAAATCAATTAATTAATGTGATGCAGCTTTCAGCATAATGTAAAATGCAACTATGCATTCTTTTTAAATTACAAATAAATCGAATTCATACTTTCATTATGTTTCCGTTTGCTTTAATCTCCTAAAAATTTCAATTCATGCAATCATTTTATTTGTAATATTAGAATAAGCTTTGTTCTCTTACTTTATTAAAAAACAATTATTTTGATTTAAAGTGTTACAATATTTTACTTCTTTTTCTAAATGCCGATTGCTCTAACATATTTCATACTTTTTTTTATCGTAACACCTAATTAGCTTCAAATTTTTTTTGATATTGCTCCAATATTTAGCTTACTTGAGATTTTTCCCTTTCTTTACGTTTTCTGAAAGTATAAACTTCAATTTGTTTTTTTGTTTTACATACCCTAATTTTTTTATTGCTTTTTTCCTAAAGTTTTTATTGTAGGATTTTGTAAAGTCACTTGTGCTTTCTTTATATGTATATACATATGTAACTACTTCAATTTATTTCACTACTTACTTCATTAAATAAATTTATAAGATAAGCTCGAGATAATTTCTTTTAAAGAATATATTTTCTTTTAAATTTTAGTTTATTAGCTCGTAAGGATTTGCGTGATTTATTTGATCAATTGTCTGTGACACGTAAAAATCGTACCCGTTTATATTCAGAAAAAAGTCGAAGTGCACCAGAATTATGCGCTGTAACCGGCCAACGCAAAATAGGTAATCTAAATAACTTAAATGATAATAACAGTGGAGCCCTTACTTACGACATTAATCAAATTGATGATGAAATATCTCGATTACAACCAATTATAGCCACACCAAAAACAACAATGACAGCTATTACTCCAACTATAACCACAACTATTACTACTAACAATAATAATAAAAACAATACAACAACCACCAAAACTACTACTACATCTAATATTTATAAAAACGTTCCACATTTTGCAGGTTTACTCACTCGCAACAGTTCATTAGATTTAGAACTGACTGAAGCAAAAAGTGCCCAAAAAAAAATTTTTGATGCCATAGCTGCATCTAGTATATTAACAAACTGTGCCGGTATTGACACAGCGAGCAATCAAGTAATAACTGTATCAACATTGAAAAAATTTCTCGAGGCTCGTCAAATGGAAATCAAAACAGATGATGAAGTTAAAGCAATTATAATGCGTCATGAACCAGATCAAACATTACGGTTAGACAACTGTTTAAGTTTTGAAGGTTTTGCACGCTATATGATGGATAAAGATAATTATGCTTTCGTAAATGAACATGTCATACAATCAACATCTAACATGGATCGTCCGCTATCGCAATATTACATAGCATCTTCACATAACACTTATTTGACAGGTCATCAATTGAAAGGTGAAAGCTCGGTAGAACTATACAGTCAAGTAAGACATTTGATTCATTCGAAAATTTCAAAATGAAAATTAGAATAATTTCATTGCACATTGACATATTTATTTTAAGGTTCTGCTAACTGGTTGCCGCTGTGTCGAATTGGATTGTTGGGATGGTGATGATGGTACCCCAGTAATTTATCATGGTCATACTTTCACAACTAAAATCCCATTTAGAGCAGTTGTCGAAGCTATTAATAGATCTGCATTTGTTGCCTCACCATATCCCGTCATACTATCAATAGAAAACCATTGCTCATTGCAGCAACAAGCAAGAATGGCTCACATTTTTCAAGCAATTTTCGGTGAAAAATTGGTATCTAAATTTCTTTTTGACTCTGATTATAGTGAAGATCCATTATTACCATCACCGTCACAATTAAAACATAAAATATTAATTAAAAATAAAAAACTAATAGCAGAAGTTCCAAGTAATCCAGTTTTAAGGTAGGTTCACTTTGAATGTAGCTCTAAATAAAGCATTTTTGACACAAAATACTTAATACTCCTTATTTTCATAATTACGATTAGAGGAACACCACAACGTCATCCGACGACCGCTACAGGGAGAGCCAGCTCGATTATTTCTAATACAAGCAGTGGGTCAGTAACGGAAGAATTTAGTGATGATGAATATGAAGACGATGAGGATGAAATAGATGGTGATTATCCTTTTAAGTCTAATAAACTCTACATTGCATTGCTTAATATTTTTTTTAGAAAAAACTTTTCATTCGATTTTTGGTTCCATAGACGAAAAACAAACTCGACATAGTCTATCTTCGTATTCTAATATAACGCCTACGCGGCGAGTTGAACCCGATGACAAGCCGAAAAAACGTAGTAGTCAAATAGCTCGAGAATTATCGGATATTGTGATATATGTGCAAGCAATAAAATTTCGTGGGCTTAATCCATTTAGCCCACATAATTCTGTTAGAATGCAACAACCACCTAGCACAGCATCATCTAGTGGCAGTCTCGTTACAGTTGGTAGCATTCTTAAAGTTGGGTCTGGGACTTCAAGTGGACCTCCATCTGGTACATCAATCAACACATCAGATACAATTTCAGCAAATTCCGAAACAATCGATACATTATCGTCACAACCTTTATCACTTCCAATACAATCTAGTACAACACCAGGACTGACACAGTCCGCAGCAATCATACCACAGCAACCATTAAGTACGACAAGTACATCATCTGCATCACACCGCAAACTGGTTCATCCAAATGTTAACCATCCATGCTATCAATGCTCGTCAATAAATGAAGCTAGTGCAAAAAAACTTTGTAGAAAACATCCACTTGCATTAATATCTCACACCCAAACTCAATTAATGCGAACTTACCCAGCTGGACTGAGGATAGATTCGTCAAATTTCAATCCAGTTTACTTTTGGGCGTTTGGCGTGCAAATGGTTGCCCTGAATTATCAAACTGATGATCCACCAATGCATATTAACACAGCTATGTTCGAAGAAAACGGGTGTTGTGGATTTGTTTGCAAGCCAGAAGTCTTATGGAATCCTACTCATTTGATGTATCGTCGTTTTAATCCACTTGAAAAAGAGTTCGATGGATTGCATTCTTCCCAAATTGTAATAAATATAGTTTCTGGGCAGTATGTTTGTCAAAGCAATTTATCATCCAGCACGTACGTAGAAGTTGAAATGCTAGGTATACCTGTTGATTGCAGTAAAAAGAAAACAAAAATTATTAAAAAGAATGCCTTAAATCCGATTTGGAATGATACATTTTTCTTTAAAGTGAGTTACAGGAACCGTCAAAAATATTTAATTCTCTTAAGTTTTATAATGATTCATATTACTTACTTACATATTTTTATATTAACACGTCTTTCATTTATAAATTTTTATGTTTTTATATTTTGAATTTGATTTGAATTATGCAATTTATGACAAATATATAATTTTATATGTTTAAATTTTAGGTAATGTTCCATGATATCGCGTTCTTAAGATTTACTGTATTTGATAATGATTCAAACCACATGGTGTCACAGCGTGTGATACCATTAAAGTGCCTAAGACCCGGCTATCGGCATGTTCGTTTACGATCACCTTCAAACCAACCCTTAAGTATGGCATCATTGTTTGTGTATTCCAGAGTGGAGGAAGAAAGTTTAGAACGTAATTCTGATGAAGCTGATGAGTTTATGGGAGGTCGTCGCGATGATCGTTTTCCAACTTATTCATCGACAAATGATACCGAAGATAACTTAACATTAAACAAAATTGGGAAAGTATCCGCAACTATTATTGGTCAGAACATTCCGTTAAAACGACGTATGTTTTTCCTTATGGTATATGGAGTCGTTTCAGAAGAACCATATACCATTTTGAAAATTACGCAAGAAACAACAACACAAGAAGTTATTGCTCAAGCTTTAGCGAAACGTAATAAATCTGGCGAACAAGTTCAGGATTATATTTTAGAAGAAGAAGTACAGCGTGGTTGGGAAAAGAAGGATCGTGATTTACCTGCAACACGGAGAATTCTCGATACTTTTGAAAAGCCTTTACAAGCTCAAGCTTTGTGGAAGGGTGAAGGGCGATTTATATTGAAACAAATACGGGATGATCCTAGTAGTCGAGCTTACATAACTTCTATACGCAGTGTTTCAAAACGTCGTTCAATGGGGGCTGGCGGCGTTAGTGACGACGAACCATTTTTAGTTTGCATATATAATGTAAGCGCTGATATTCCTTATACCATATTTCAAGTTGCAATCGGTTCGACAGCTCAAGATGTAATAGCTCAAGCTTTAATCAAAGCCAGACGTATTAATGAAGACCCAAATGATTTCGTTTTAATTGAAGAACTTGAATTTGGGGCAAGTGGTAGCTCATCGTCAACAAATACACAACAAAGACCATTAAAAGACGACGAAAATGTCTATACAACTCAAGCTAATTGGCAAACAATTGGGAAATTTATATTACAAGATAGATCTAGTATAACACCGTCAATGAGGCGTCACCGTATTGCGATTGATAAAATCAGTAGAGGTTTTAGCATAAGTCGTGCAGCTATGCTATCTGGAGGATCTAAACCACCAATACAAATAGCGTTAAGTGATCCCACCACATCAACTCGTATCAAATATAGATCAGACGATGCAAGTGGTAGCGGCAGTAGTAATAGCAGTAATCAAATGGGTCGTGGTATATTTAGAGCAAAAGGTAGTTCAGAAAAAGAAACACCGACATGTAGCCCAAGACAACGTCAACGTGAAGTACATTCAGAAGGTGAAACACTATCCGATGAAGAAGGGCGATCAGATTTAATGGCGATGGTATCAAGATGTAAAAAAATGTCAATAAAAAAATTAAAAGTATGGAAATCCTGAGTATTATCCTATTTTCTAGAATTTAATTAAAAATAAAATCGTACAAAAAATGATTAAAGGTTGAATTTCAAATTAAAGTGAGAGTCGATCAATGAAAAAGTTATAGAAAAAGATATTTATAAAAAAAATATGAGAAAATTTAAATTCTAGAAATGGAAATATTAAATCACAAAAAATATTTTTTTGAGAAATACATAAATGTAATTTAGGACATAAAAATAAAAATTAAAGTAAAATATTAATCTCTTAAGTAGGTTACATAAAGGAAAACTACTAAGAAAAAATTATATAGAACCTGTTTTGAAATTTATAATAAATTATAGATACACATTTACATATATATATGTAAATATATATATACACTTTATATATTAAGTTGGTTACTGAATTTTTATTGAATTCAATTACAATAATAAAAATTTAGTTTAAATGAAAAATTAAATAATATAGAAAAAAAAATTAAAACTCAACGAAAAACGGTTAAAATTTAATAATGAAACAATCTTATAAGAGAAATAAATAATATTAAATATAGTATATAAATAATCAATTAAATGGGTCTATCAACTTATAAAGAAGAGTATAATATTTAAAATCATTGACAGAAACATATTGGAATAAGTTTTAAACAAAAGTTAACTTACCAAAATGAACAATAGCGTTATCTAAAAAGTTAGAAAATTTAGAACCCATTAAAACTTTTCATTTATTCAACTCTCTAAGTCCGAAATTTTAATTATTTCAATATGCTCGCCATATTAAAAATATATTATTGATCGATCTCTGTTTACATAATTTGCCAAACATCAGTCCTTCCATTTAGAATTTATTATGGTTTTAAATATCGACAAATGAAATTTGTGGATGCAAAAAATAAAAGCGCAATCCTCGTTTGTAATTCGGAACAAACTTCTTTTTTTAATTGAGCTCAATTCGTAATTTCGATTTGTATTAACAGTAAACCACCGAACCTCTTTATAGAATTACAGGTACCATAATGTCACATATCAACAATTTGATAAATGAGTTCTGTAAATCGACCAACCAACAATTATTAATTCAATCTTAAATAAATCCAAATAAACATTTCTGAAACCTTCAAATTTAAAATCAAATATATCATAAATTTAAAATTATAGAAAAAATAGTTAAAGAAAATGATTATATTGTATTTACATAATATGTTCATTTTGGTAGGATTTTTTACATTCAAGGTGCATAAATAAAATAATTTAATACAGAAAATATATAGTAAATTAAAAGAAATTTATATAATTATATGCCGATATGTACATACATATATAATGTACATATATATTGTATATTATATAACATATATATTATTTCTCTAAAAAATAAAAAAAAAGAACAAAATTATAAAAAAAGATAAAAAATATTTATATGATATATGAGCTCCTTAACCCCAAAAAAAATTGTTTGAAATTAAATTTATAAGTAAAGTAAATAGATTTCATATGAAAAATTAATAAGTAAATTATAAATGGTAGATAAGTTTTTTCATAACAAAAAACCCAAAATAAAATTTATATAAAATTATATGAATGGAAATAACATATAAAACACAAAAAATATAATTTTCTCTTAAACGAAATTTAATTTATCAATTTACTGCACGTGTAAAAAAAATTAACTATAAAAATTTAAAAAATAATTACTTTCGGTAATGCCACAAAAATATGTTAATAATACAAATAATACAAAAATATATAAATCTAAATGTCACACCAATCGTTCATAACATTAACCCTTGACCTCTTGAATCGTTTTGAATCAAATCGCTTTTACTTGCATAAACAAGACCATAAATCATTTTATAAATTACAAAGATTTTAAAAAATCGGATTAAATTTTATGTCGATTATCTGTATTTCATTTGTTTTAGAATAACAAATAATTAAATTGGCACGTTGTGTCTTTTTATCCAATATTTAAAAATATTTTTAATATGTTATTCAACGTGGTGTTATTTGAATATATTTTAATTTATATCTTTTGAAAGGTTCTAACAATCGGACTCTTGATTCACAAAAAATTTATCAATAAAAGAGTTAATTCTATGAAATGAATTAGTCTTGCTTTCGGTTTTGTTTAAATATCTTAATAAAGCAACACCTACTTCTTTACTTACTTGAACTTCTTCTTTAATTAATAAATCATTTTCAAGAAACCTTCCGCTAACAAAAATTTATTCGAAGGTTTTTGTTAGTGGAATTGAAATAGTTTTGAAAAGTTTCAATTCTTTTATGTGATAACCAGCTTATATCCACTGTGGATAGTACTAAAGATGATGAACTTTTCCTAATGTCATTTTAAGACATTTAAACAAATTTGTTAAATATATCATCAAAAGTTTGTTTTGTGTTCCATTTAAAATAAATTAAATTACAAAACTCATTATTTTTTTTTTTTGGGTAATATTTATTTTTTTTTCAGATTTCTGATCTTACAATTTACTGAAAATTAAAATTTTTTACTATAATAAATTATATTAAAACTATTACTTACTATCGTATGCTACTAAATAAAATCGACTTTACTTTAAAGTTACAATTTGAATATTTCTAATAATGTTTGTCAATAGAAAAAAAAATTAAACTAAATGCCAAATATTTTATTTAATTACCATTATTATTATTGCGTATCACCTATAAAATTAAAAGCTTAATAAAAAACCAAATAAAAGAAAAAGTAAATTAAGAACCCCTAGTTTAAAATTTAATTGAAATATTAATTATGTATCTATTTAAATATAAAACTATTTTTAATGTGTTATGGAAATTATAAAAGAAAAAAAAATGTTATTTGACGTTTCGTTTTTCGTTTTGATATTTTGCAAATCATGTAATGTAAACTCATTATGTGCAGTTAAAAAATTCCTTTCACAAAGTGCCTCGACACCATTTTTCCACAAAATTCTAACAATTAATTTTAATTTTGTTTTAAAAGTTAGTGATTTATTAAATATTTGTAGACTCACTTTTACTTAAAATCACTTCATTATAAATGAAAATCTTTTTGCAGTATTGTCATCATATTTAAAGTCATATATTCTCAAAACGCTTGGAAATTTTTATTTTCTATACAAAAACCAAAAATTAAAATCATAACTGCAAACGATATGCACTAAATAAAACACTTCAGAATTATATTTTATGTTTAGTGATTAAAAAATATATTAAAATACTGCAATATTTTATCTTTATTAATGATCATTTTTTTATAAATATAATTAAAACATAAAATTCACATATTTATGTTTTCGATGAGGATTAGATAAACGGCAATCTGAAACTTTTCCATCTCTGAAATTTTAGAATAAAAAACAAACAAAATTTTAATTAAAATATTAACATTTAACTGAAAAAATTGTTATTTTGTACTTCCCGTGCTTAAGCATTACTAAATATTTATTATATACGTTAATAAATAATAATTTTTACCCAATCAACAAAAACTATAATTATGCATGAAAAATGTATAAACGAAACGTCATTTTGTTTAATTTTGTATTATTAAAAATTTTATTTCTTGTTTAATAAATTAATTATATTGAACGTTAATTGTTAGTAAAATTAAATTTAATAAAAAAATATGTAAAAAATGAAATAACATTTATAAACTAATGTTAACTAAATTAACATTAAAATAAGAGCGAAAGAAAAAAAAATTTATAAATTATGTTAAAATAAAAATCAATAAAAATAAAATCTCTTAATTAATTTATTAAGTATTAACAAAATAACAAATAACAAAACTTGTATATTAAAATGTTTGCAATTTAAAAGTGAAAAAAATAAATAAAGTATAAATATAATGTTATAAAAAAATTTTTATTTAAAAATAATTATAAAAAGAATATGGGGAATAAATGCGACTTTACTCTTTTTAAAAAAAGAAAATAAATAAAATATATACATATACATACATACATACATACATAAATTATAAAAATATCATAATTTAAACAATAACCAAAAAAGAGAATAAATAACTTATTTTATTAAATATTAGAATATCAAGAATTTTCAGAGCAAAAAACAGAACTGGGTAACAATAAAAATTCTTTGATCAGCACTACTTTGCAAATTAAATAAATTCATTGCAACATTTCAATAATGTTTAATTTTAAAAAATTTTTTAAATTTCATTAAAAATTTATTATTTTTAATGTTTTAAAATACTAAATAATAATTAAATAATAATCAGTAATACGAGTATAAATTATTTTTATTACTTTTATTTTTAATGCTGAGTCGTTTTGTTTTTATTTGCAATAAATTTTTTTTAAAAGTCAATATATGTGTTGTAATACGTATGTAGAATGTGTTGTAATACGTATGTACAATGAAATTCTTGTGCATTAAAAGTTTATGTATTATTAGAAAAAACACTTTAATTTCAATATGAGCGAATCAATTTTCTTAAAATTTTAAATTTTTATATTAAAGAAAAGTTTGGTAAATATTTCGGATGCGACTGCAATTTCGATTATTTTAGTTTTTGTTATGTGTGGAATATAAATTTGTAATTCATGTGACAAAAAATTTATGGTAGTAATCGCAAAAAGTTCGTACAATTTATTTTGAAAATCTTATTCCCTTACACTTTTAAGTTTCAATTATTAACTTAGTTATCTTTCGAACAAAAAATTCTGCTAATAAAATCATAATTTCGAGTCTAATCACTATAAGGATTTCTAAACATCAAATGTTTTTATTTTATATTAAAAAAACAAAAATCTTTTCAAGTTTTCTTTTAAAAATTAATTTACCTTTATGACAAAACTAGCTTATTAAGAAATAGATCACATGAACTTTAAAACGCGTTTAAGCAAACAGTTGTTAATTTTATTTCTATATTTCTGTACCTAATTTTATATGGAATTGTGTACTTGATTGAATATACACCACAATGTAACAAAACATTATAACGATCAAAACCACATCCACTCTGCCGAATATTTACCATTGTTTTTGAATTCTCAAGTAAAAATTTCTAAAATAATTTTCAAATATCATTTTATTATTTAGTTACAATATATTATCAAAAATAATAAAGGACTTTTTTATTTTATCTTTTTTTTGCCACTATAAAAGAATTTTAGCTTTTTTGCTACTAGATTCAGTTTCATTTACTTTCCGCAATCGACTATGTTCTATTAAAAATAATGAATGCCATGTTCTACATTTTAATGAATCAAAGCTTAAAATATTATGCAATTTTATCATTAAATAATACCTTATTCACTATAATATTACAAAATCCTGTGTTCTGTGAACACGACATCATCATTAAAATATAT